GGATTTTCCGCGGCCTTTCGTAACACTGGGAATTTCGTGTCGTGGGTCGTGGATCGTGCCACGCTAAACCGCGCGTGAATTGTCTTGACCCAAATTCGAATATCCTTCTACGTTTTCTTCTTTCTACGCCGGAATGCAAATGAATTCGATGCAGCGAATATAACATAAGATAATAACTTCACGCGAAGGTAATAACTTTGCCTTCATGCGTGTTAAGATTAAAGCTTTAAAATGTATATAATATAACGCAAAATTATATGAATTTTTTAAGAGAGAAAAATTCTTAATAATTCGTTCTCGAGAAGAACCTGAAGAACGATAAAGAGGATCGGCTATGACTATGTAATTTCTTCGAGGTTGTTGAGGAAGGTACAGGAGATGGAAATAAGGGATTAGAAAATAAACACGTCGACTTTCACCAAGTTCTTTTTTTTTTGCGTGAATGAGATTACACGATAGAAGATGATTATCGATGAGGAGACAAGCTGCGAGCTGCTACGCATACTTCCACACGAGCTTTACTGAGGTCGACGGCTACCGGTCTGATGATTTTTGCGGTCAGTAGGTAATATGGTACCCATGTTGCTCGATCGAGTAACTCGACGGGATCTCCGCGATCGGTGCAGAATAATAAGCGTATGGCGATACCTAGTAATAACGAAAAACGATAAAAAATTGTATTTTGATTTTCCAACGCAATTTGATCACAGAAAACGATAAGCTTTGAAACAGAAAAAATTTTCTTTTCTTTTCCTTTTTTATTCTCACCGATCCATGTGAAAATTATATCTTGATCTACCGCATTTCTTTGTAATTTAATGTTGAGCAATCGAAAAATATAATTAAAGATTTGCGTTCTTTTTTTATATTAATTGGAATAATGAAAAGGCTTCAGAATATAAAAGCGCGGCAGCAGATTATGGATTATTTTGTCATTTTAATTTTTTCATTTTGTCAATTTTTTTATGATTACTCGCAACTTCTTTTATCTTTCGACATTATAATTTTAAAATCAAAATTATGACTTGTCAAATATAATGGAATTTTAATTCTTGTAATTTATATGCGAAGAACACTTTGTAAAGTTGAAACTAGTTTTAATGTATTGAACACATTAGATTTTATTTAATATTTTATAGCACTCTTCGCTTTTACTCATCTTTAACTTTTTTTCTTATATTATCTTGGTAAGAAAAAAGTTTTAAAATAAAGAAAAAAGTTTTATAAGTATATAAATTTAAAAATCGACTCTTTAAATGTAAATTCACAAACATTCGATTCTTGAATTGAAGCTATATCAGTAACCCACTCCTGGTTCGATGGATGATTTAGAAATCGAACGTTTTTGCGGCGCGTAAGTTGCTTTTCGAACGCCAAGATATGCACTTGGACTTTTTGTATCTAAAATGATTGGATAAAACAGAACAATAGGAGTCAAGCACAATAATTCTTGTGCAAACCAATACGGTTAACAAAACAACTTTATTAATAATTAATCCTTACATATTTCGACTCACCTTTGAGTCATCCTCAGAGACAATATGATATTATAATTACAAAAAATTTTTTTACAAACTTTTACATAATTTATTTGAGTGAGCCACCTCCACCTATTAACGGAAACTATAATATAAAGACAAACTTTAATAACAATCTGAAATATATTAAAATGATTAAATTTGTTGGAAACAAAAACGATTTATTGTAAAATAATAGAAGGTAGCTTACAAAAATTCACCATATCGCAAACACTTAAATTCTATCGGTTTAGTCAAAAACCAGTCTTTAATCATTTAACGAATCAGTGTATGTTGAAATTAATGAATAACTTTTAATATATCTAAAACGTTAATCGCAAAGAAAAGGAAAAAAGAAGAGAAAAAAACTCTGATATTAATTGTAATCCAGACGAGCATTAAAACCAAAACTGAATTTTTAATAATTTAATCTTAATATAACAAAGAATATATACTGATTGATGTATTAAAAGTTTTTGACTAAACCGATAGAATTTAAGTGTTTGCGATATGGTGAATTTTTATTTTAGTAAGTTATTCTATTCTTCTATTATTTGACAATAAATCGTTTTTGCTTCCAACACAAATTTACCTTTTAATCATTTAACACATTTTAGATTGTTTATTATAATTGTTTATATTTTTATATTATAATTTCCGTTAATAAGTGGAGAATGGCTCATTGAAATGAATTAGTAAATAAATTTGTAAACAAATTTTTTGTAATTACAACATCATATTGTCTCTGAGGATGGCTCAAAAGTGAGTCGAAACATGTAAGCGAATTAATTATTAATAAAGTTGTTTTGTCAACCGTATTGGTTTGCACAGAATTACCATACTTGACACTCCTATTGCCCTGTTATATACTTTTTATGTATGATTAAGGAGTCTTTAGGAATTAATTTATATTTTTGTATCTACCTGTGAAAGAACGGGTGCGGCATAGGCGAAACGGGAAACCGGTGCGATAACTGGTGTAGCGATTGGCGCGATTGGCGCGACCAGCGGTGTGAGTTTGGCGGTTGACGCCGGAGTTTTCAACTCGGAGACGAGGGTGAGTGGTCTGGGTGCCGGCGCTGGCGCGGACCACGCAAGGCCGACGAGAGTGGCGAGCAGGATCTGCAAGTAATCGTCATAAAGGAAAAGCTCGCTCCTTATTTAAATTGGAAAACTTCAGCGCGCGGAGCACGTCGGTGAATATAAGTAACCGTTGAACCGCGTGAAGCGAATGAGTCTACGTGAGGTAAATATCGTTGCGCGAGAAGACACCTAGGGCGGTGGTGAATAATCGCGTTACACTTTCGGGGAATAAATGCAAATTGCAACGATTTCCGAGACGTTGGAGATCACAATAGCGGAGTAAAAGCGCAGAAATTATTATTGCGTATTTCGTTACGATTTTTAAATTCATTTGCGGATGCACTTTGCACTCTTCACGGAATGCCAGATTTACTTACGAATCGCAACATGACGACTTCGGGCAAGGATTCTGCGCGGATGCACTCGGGAACGATACTTCGTATAAATGCGCGCGCCAGCTTGGTCTCCTCGTACTTATAGAAGTCTCAAGGGATGCCGTAAAAAAGTAGACTCGTCCGGTACTACAAAAGTTCCTAACTGCCGTACCACCGCATTCCTCCCCGGTCTCAGGGACGGACAAGGCTATAGTTGCAATATGACGCATCCTTGTTCTAGGATGCATCGACCATGCATTACATTCTACTTCTGAAGTAACTTTATGTGTGTGTGGGGTTGTCCATTCATAATATATTTATAAGGAAACGAGAATTCAATTAGTTGAACTCGGAAATAATTGATGTGGAAAGAATTCTACGGAAGATTTTGCTGAAATATCTAAACATTTAATTACATGGAAAGAATGATTTTGCTGAAGTATTTAAAAATTTAGCTAAATATAGATCTGAAAATAATTTGGTTGAATCATCAAAATAATTATATGGAACGCTTAAATGTAACACATTTTAACAATCTCTCAGACTACACAGAATATTTATAGTAAATACTATTTATGTTTTTAAATGTTATGTAAATACTTTATTCATACTTTATTCATATTTTTTAAAGCTTTATTTGAAATATTATTAAGATATAGACCAGATATTTTATATAATATTTTTGATAAATATAAATAAATACTTCTGGTAAGTATTTTTTTACTTGAATTATAGATAATGTTTTATTAAGTATTTTCCGCAATATTTACAATAAGTATTTCATAATATTTATAATAAATATTTATGATTGTGCAATTTAAGACCACAAAAATATTAAAAATAAGTCTAATGAATATTTGCAAATATTTTGTAAATATTTTATAAATATTATGTACTATCTGGAAGCTTGAACACTTTACAAATTATTCTGATAGCCCAACAAAATTATTTTCTAATTCAGCTAAATTTTTAAATACTTTAGCAAAACTTTCTGTTCTTTCCATGTAGTCTAGATTTTTTGCAAGAAAATCCTGTAGATTTTTTATCATTTTAAATGACTGCTTTGCAAGAGAAGGTAACGGAAGATTATTATAAATATTTGCGCATAAAAGAATATATATCATAAATTAGTTACAACGAAAGAAATAACACTACTTTCATCCAAAAAGATGCTTAATAATCTAAATCCTCAGTATATCTTCTTAACAAAAATTAAATTGCAGATTTCCTTCCGTCCGCATTACGTTTCGTTAAATATACAACGGATAAAACGCGCACGACAGAACAGTACATCGATAAGAATAATGCTTGAGTCCCGAGGAACGTTCCTCTCTTCCATTACCTCCCATTTCTATTTCTTCCTCTTTCGAAGAAACAATCCTAGCGCAAGAGCCCTTCGACTTCGCATTTTTCAATTATCGATCCACGTCCCTCGGACGCAGCACGTACGTTTTCGCTGCAATTCTCCCGTTGGTATTTTCTTCAGCGAGTATACGCGTGCACGTATGCATTTCTTCTCAGTGTCAGTGTGGGACGAGCGTGATTTAAGAAAGGGAGACGCGAGAAGGTTCGATAGGCTAACGCGACTCGAGACTCGACTACGCGCGTCTCTTTGGATACAAGCGCGATCCGGCGATGCTTTACAACGCCATTCGGCCATTCGACGCACCGTAGACAAGGGATACCGAGGCCATTAGCAGTACTCGCAGTTCATTCACCCAAGACCTTGAGGATCCAAGCGTGCATATACCTTCGAAGGCAATCGCGCGTCGGGCAATTTATATCGAGTTACAGATATGTATCATTGATCGAGTGGCGAACTCGTTGACAAGACGATGCAGATCTATGCAATTTACGAGCGCGAATCTCGCACTTGTTGAGAAAATATTAGTAACGCAAATATAATAAAAATACAGAAATTATTGTATAAACGACAAATAGTTTGGACACAGAAGGGAATAACTTTTGTACGACGAGTTGAATACTTTATTTCTTGGATTTGTTAAATATATGTGTGTCTGGAATATGAAATGCATGAAAATTTATTGAGGAATTTACATCGAGTATGTGCAATACAATCTTTTTTTTTTTTTTTATAAATGTTGACAAACGTGATCGACCGGCCTCTTTCCCAAGCTAAAGACTGCCAGTTTCGATTCGTTTTGTTAAGTCACGCGAACGACATGGTTCTCGAACTTGGGATAGTTCTTAGAGTAATCTACGAAGACAATGCCGCCGCGAAAGTGATCGAGAATGATGATAGTTTCGGGTGAGTGGTTTTCCGACTGCGAGCAAAGACTAAAAGATGGTCCTTTCTTTAACGAGCACAACAGGGATCCACCTGTCTCTTTAAATTTATAAAACTCATAATTGACGAATGTTCCATTTGAAGATAATTTAACCTTCTTTAATAAAATGTCCTCAAACGGAGATCGTATTTTTAAATTCGTCATAGGTTTCATTTTGTAAATCCATGCGTGCTCCTTAGAGTTATTATTTTATGTTTTGATACAATACTTCGGCCGGTGATTATTTATGCGTGTTGAATGGTATGCCCGTAATTGGATACAATTTTCTCGGCAATCAGCTGATGGGGATACGCCGAATAATATGGTGAATAATACGGTGCCGTGTAAGCTATTTCGCGAGTGGCAATCGCGGGTACTGCAACGTGCGATTCGACGGCTGCCAGAGGTTTTGCCACTGCGATCAACGGACGCGCGTCGTGGATTACTTGGTGTCCATGGGCCTCTATCGTCTTCTCGGCAACCAACGAGGTCTTCGCCACCGGTTGCACAATCTCGGCGACTGGTTGCTGTACCAGAGCGACATCCGCGTATCTCAGCAGCGCGGGTGAAGCCGCGGCCACCAGCGACGCTGATGGATGCACCACGTTGCTGCTGTGCGCCTCGACGACCTTCTCAGAAACGAGCTTGCCAATAACAGGCGTGAGAATAGTTCCACATTGCACCGTGGCGATGCTTGCCAGGACGGAAATAACCACCTACGAAAGAGAACGTTTGCCGCGGATATGAAACCTCCTCAAGATGATTTTGGAAAGAATAGGATGCCGGCGGTGTCAATATTTTCCAACCGTCTTTACATTCTCAGAGAGTCTTTACATTCTCGGTAGATCAGAAAATTGGATGTTCTGTTGTCAAAATGTGCTAGGAATAATGATTGCCAGTTCGATTAGCTTTAATTCGTTAAGTTTGTTATTCGTTATTAATATTTATGTTTATATTAATATATTTATAAAATATTAAAAATAATTATATATGTATATATATATATATATATATTTATAGGTTGTTTTATGAGAAGTTGAAACTAATCAGCTGTCATTTTGAAACGCGCACGGGAAGTAGGAAAAAATAAAATACATTTTTTAATAAGACATCTGACAGTTTTATTTACATATAAAATAACAATAATTGGACATATTTATATCATGCACTTAATAAATATTTATAAAAATGTGTGTCAAATTACTGATCTCAATAATGTATGTATATTTTCGAAATGCTAAAATTCTTAATGAGTATATTTAAAAAAAATTTTATTTAACATTTTTTTTTGATAAAAAAAATACTAATGTATTATTAAGAATTTAGCATTTCGCAAAATATAAATTACTAAGATTAAGGCTTTGACATTTTTATAAACATTTATTAAATGATATACAAATCTTTCCGATCATCTTTACATTATTTTTTATCCCCTATATATGTATATGCGTTTAAAAATGATAACTGATTAGTTTCAAGATAAGACACCTGTTAAATGTATATATACATAATATAATTATTTTTAATTAATCTCGACGATTGTCAATTGCTTTACTATTCAGAGGCAATAAATTTTCCGCCTTAGTTGCTAAATAATGTTAAGAATCGTCGATCTTACCAGTCTAAACATGACGATGGATTTTCACTACTTTTGGATCAGAACCTGGGACTGATCTGCACGCACGCGGATCTACGCATGCTTATATAGGAGAGTGCTTCCGTGATCTTCGAGAAACCTTCAAGGTCTATGCAAGAATTCAACGCCCTGCCAGTGTATAGGATGTGTCGAGGAATATTCAATGCGCCGAAGGCACGTTCTTGTCTGAAAATATGTACGCGTGTAAAATACATTCTCGTGAACGTATTTCTTGTTCGCATAAAATATTAAGAATTATCGGGAGAGGCCAAGAGAGAGATATTCCCTTGAACTTTGAAAATTTTATTTTAGGACAACGTCTTTCATATTTTAAAGATCTCCTTATCAACAAATAGGAATTATAATTTAAAATTAAAATATGTAATATGAATATTAGAGAGAAATGTGACTCGAAAATATTAAGATATGATAACTATTAATCACGACAGCAGAATTGTGAAATAGATTAGCGACGTTATATGAAAATCGAAAGTGATGAAGGATATATGGATTACTTTTTTGTCAGCTGTTGGTTCTGGAAGCGTTAAGCTTTTTGTCATCGTCGTCGAGCTTGTGGGGTACACTTGACGATCGAACAAAGGGGCTTTGCGATCTTGAGACTTTACTTTTACTCCTCGCCTCTTGATAACAATAAGCACATTACGCCATAGACGCAAGGAGAAGTGGTACTCCTCGGAGATGCAACAAAAAGCACTCGAACGCGAAATTACGGTCGAAAACGCGCTTAATCTTAATGATCTCATTTATCAATTTCTACTTCATGTATGGCATCAAGGACGACGATTTCGACAAAAGATAATGTGTCACGATTGAAAAAGCAAAACAATTAAAATAAGATTAAAATGAACCTTTTCTTTCTTAAGTCATTTTTATGAATCGTTTAAAAAACACCTAACTATATTCTATCAAGACAAAATGAGTGAATTTTGTAAAGTAATATTTAAATATTTATTTCTCCTCAATCAAAACTTACATTCGTAAAGATATTATTTTCAATTCAAAATTTTATTTTAGCACAACTATCTTCTAACATAAAATACTTGGAGTTTTTTTCTGGATTCGACACATTCAATACGTATGCAGCGACATATGTATAGACACTATCTACAGTTTTCCTTCGCGAAACCGTAGGTGCGATATTGAATAATTCGCCAAACTTACCCTTCCTTCTCACGGGGACTTTTTTAAAGCTCCCGTAAAGAATTTACTAAGTTAGATTCGTGAAAAGTGCATGGACGGGTTTGTATGTTCCCTGTAAATATATTCAATACGTGACCCGACGGCGCGCGGTAAAGTTTCGCTTCGCGAGTGCCATGACGGAGGACGAGCGGGGGCCAAAGCCGAAACTCAAACAACCGTTGATCGCCAAGTCGGTAAACAGTTTTCATCGAGTCGTTCCAAATCCTATTTTGCGAAAAGCCTCACGTAAACGGATAGGTAGAACGCAACGTAGGTGGACTCCATGCGGGCGTGGCGTTTCCCCCGATAATCAGGACGCTCCGTTGTTTGCCGATCGTCCGTGCGAGACGGAAACTTGGGTTCTTCGAGACTGTGCGAGGAAAAATCTGCGATCCCCGATAAGTTCCCAGTGGTACGTGATACGGAGGAATTAGTTCTTTAGGTACAGCGCCGTGAGGACGCAATGAAGTAGAATTCGATAACCCGCTCGCAGTTCGACAATAACATGTGATATCGTTCGACGAGACTATTCTAAGAATCTAACGAGAAGCAAAGAAGAATTCGAGAGGAGAGATTACGAGGTAATATCCGAAATATAAAGATAAGTTAAGCGAAATAGCGCTGATACGTTCTCTAACAAGTTGAAGGTGTCAATAAGGACTAAACACATAGAGAAACACATTCATTTAAAGGCAGAAATGGCAACTTTATTGATTAATCGTAGCGATCGGTCGTTCAACCGTGTCAGGACAGGCTGATACAAGTTTAGTCAAAGTGCCTGGTTGATCGATAATCTGATCGATAATTCGGTCGGTCGTTCCGACGAATCGTTACGCGTCCAAGTTGGATGATGAAGGACGTCTTCATTGTCGGCTTGTGAAGAGATTGTCTTGAGAGATGGGCTAAAGATGGTTAATTATAGTGGACGATTCTCCCTTAATGAAGGACGACGGGGTGATGGGCAGCGTAGGCGAGTGGTGCGGCGTGGGCGACGGCGACGGCGGGGGCGGCAGCGACGACCGGTGCGGCGGCGACGACTGGGGCAGTCTTCAAGATCGGCGCGGTATAGGCGAGTGGAGCAGTGGCCACAAGTGGGCTCTTCACGGACACCTTGTAGGTATTGGCGTAGCTGGTGGCGACCGGGAGGGTATGGGCGACCGCTACCGGAGCTGCGACTACCGGCGCTGCGTGGAGAGCGGGCGACAAGTAGCCGGGTGCAGCCGCGACGCAGGCCACCAGGGCAAAGAGAGCGACGATCTTGTACATGGTGATTGAGGTTGTTGCTTCGTACTTCGGCAGAGCACTGAAGAGCGAATGATGCCTGAACACGGCATCTAGGACCCCTTATATTCGTCGGGGCTGACCTCTCCCACCCATCTCTCACGGACCACCCGGTCCCGGCCACAGGTTCCTGTTGCCGCCTTCCTCTCGTCGCTCTGATACCGCCATTGCTCGTTTTTTTTTCCTTTTCTTTTCTTTTCTTTTCTTTTCTTTTCTTTTTTTTTGTTGCGCTGACCACTTGTTGGAGGAGCACTGCCAAGGACTGCCTCTGTGATCGTTCGTGGCCTCAACGCAGACCCTTCACCGCCTCGTATCTCGCAGATTTCGCTGGTACCCTCACGTGACGTAGCCTCGATGGTGTCCATCATCGTTTTGTTTCTTCGAGAAGGACGCGGGAAATACTCGAAAGGGCGACCATGATTGTTGGTGGCCTTATCTCCTGGTGGCTTTCTTTGTTTGCGAATACATGATGCCTGAATGGAGAGGTTCAATGACATAGCCTCGACTATCGACATCAAACTCTCGAGCAGAATCCGGAACAATCACACGTAATTATCAAGCGATTTATTGCGTGTACATATTAGCTTTCGGACCAGCCGACAGGCCCAAAATACGAGTTGTTCGAATTGCCTCGGGCAATAATGGCGTTTGGAACAGCTTGTCACTTCCTCGATTAATTCTTGACGTATGGAGACGTGACCATAATAGCCGCTTAATTGATAACGTCGACTGTAGAACATACAGATAATTTTATTATTAAACTTGGCTTTCTTGTCGCTTGCAAGTCATTACATTTGAGATGCAGCTCGTTAATAATATTTAAACAATTAAAGTAGCCTTGACAGCCGTTAGATCGGCGTGGTCTCAGTTAAAATCGTTAACCTGTTCATGTAAAGGATGCTTCCAGGTTGTTGTTTGCCCTGACTTTGGTCATTTAGAAGGCAATGCTTCTCTTCCTCTTTGTACTTTACCCCATTTTAATGCTTATGAATTGCAACGATTTACGAGCCGGGTCGCCTTGCTCGCGGGTTTCTCTCTCGGGTGCGGAGACGCAGCGATCGGACGGTTTTGTTCCACGAAACACGCATACGTTGTTCTAACAAACTTATATGCACGACAAACTTGTATGCATAACTTTTTTTCCTCAAAGTTTTGTTTAAAACTCGTTCATCTGAAAAGTTTTTTTAAAAACTTCCAACTTCTGTGTCTGCAATTATTCAAGAACAATCTACGAAAGATTAACTTTTTTCTGGATTAAATAATTGAGAAAATAATTGAGAGGATTAAATAATTGAGAAGAAAGTTTTTCTCTAGTAACTTTTTAATTTATTTGTTACTTAAATACGTATTTCTATTAAGTTTATAGATTAATCTTTCTCTTAGAAAAATATTCGCTTTGAAAATCATTCTTTTGTAATTTCCTGAAAAAAATTTCCTCGAAAATTTATTATTTCTACCTTTTACGTCTTTTTTCTTTCAACTTCTCCTTCTATATTTATACCTGACTTAATAATAAATGATCGAATTAATTATCGAATAACGCGGAGATCGAACGATAGTCACGCCCACGTATGTAACGCTGTCCAAAACTGATGGGTGGTGGGAAACCAGAATCGGTGGCGAGAGGCATTGTGACACGAGTCGCGAAAGTAGATGCTCGACTTACACAATTTCGCACGACGCATTTCGCATACAACGTGTCATATGAGCAAACGTATGCATGCGTTGGTTGCATATCCTTATCTCTGTCCTGTGCATTTGCTCCGTTCCTTGCACAATCATGCATCAACAATGACAATTCGTGACAGCTCGCACTGACGAAAATCGCAACGATTTCGGTGACAACCGGTTAGACGTAACGTCTCGACTACCGACCTGCTTTTCTACGCAATGGAATATGCGTGTGGAATAAAATATGCGTTATTTTACGCAAGATGCAACCATCATCCTCGTTTCGTACTTTCATCGTTAATTGACAAATTACAACGAATATCGCTGTAGCATGTTAAAATTTCACGGATCGCTTTTCCGTGACTAAAATTTATAATGCATTCGTTTATATTAAATACTTGTATATATACAATATACAAGTATTTAATATATTATTAAATTGATGAATTGATAATTGTGGTATAGCGCATGTTCGTTTCTGACGTTATGTAATTATTTACATGCGGTAGACCAATTGTTACAATTATCAATTTTACATTTGGTAGGTTATTTTCCCTGAAAAAAAGAGAGGAATTGGTATATATTGTACCGACTATAATATTATTATACTATAATAATATCTCATGCGATTATTCAATTTATCCATCACTCAAATATCGTCGAATGGCTCGTCCTGTTCGCGTCCGGTCCCCTCCCAAAGCGATCCAAATCTCTAGTACTGCGAAATCTCACTGAATTCGGAAGACCTTGACAGGCACTTCTAGATCACAAGGATGGGAGTTATAGGAAACCAGTTCTGTTTTCGCATAAGAGGGGAGGTTTTGGGTCCTATAAAAAAGTATCGCGGGAGAGATTTCGGTATCAGTAGTCGAGTAGTGACAACT